GATAGATAGATAGATAGATAGATAGATAGATAGATAGATAGATAGATAGATAGATAGATAGATAGATAGATAGATAGATAGATAGATAGATGCAAAGTGCATTACAAAAAAAAATATGTACACTATAAATGTAAGAAAAACAGCTGCATGATGGTATAAAACAAAAATAAGGGGTCTTTTGTGTGCCTGACACTGAATGAAGAGTCATTTTTCAGTTTTAGAGAGGACAGTAGGAATGATTTCCTGAAGTGTTCTTGTCTCAGTGTCTCATTTGACACTGAGACTCATCTGAATCTTAGTTTCTCCTGCCAAAGACAGCAGGGTCAGAATTTGGGGTTAAACAGCATGAAACGTGGCTGCATCCCCGCTGGTTCAGACTAGTGGTGGTGGTGTAGTGGGGTGGGGATATTTTCTCAGCACAAACCAGCTTGTTACTGATTTTGCCCATACCTTTTTCAACATTGTACCAAACATTTGATGGCTGCTTCCAGTAGGATAATGTGCCATGTCATTAAGTAAAAATCAACTGCTGAACAGCACATTGATTTCTTTGTACTCACATGGCCTCCACAGAGATGCAGTGGAACGGAAGAACAAGATGATATCGTCTCTATATGGACCAAACATCCTAGAAAGGTTTACCTGATAAACTGGGGTACATTGGGACTGACTCTTGTGGCCGTTAGAGTAGACGTAATTTTTTTAGCTCTAGCTCTAGCTAATTGCTTTGCTATCTAAAGTGGAAACTCTTACTTCTAAGTTTATGGATATGCAAGTGCAGTTGTATTTGGGTGGTTTATGATGATGCCTCACAACAAATAGGCTCAGAGTTCAACTCTCAGCTGGATGGTGCCATTTTACATGGATTCTGCATGTTTTTCCACTGTCGGCTGAAATTGATGCCATGGATGTGAGTTAGAGAGTGTGTAGTTGGTGCTGTGATGGACTGGCTCTGGATCTGTCCATGGTGTATCCTGCCCTGTTTTTCAGCCAATGACAGCTGAGATTATGCTCCAGCCTGTCTGTGACCCTGAACCGTATAAGCAATTAAGAAAATGGATGGAGTGGATGGATTGACTGTGCGATCGTTGTGCATAGTTGTTACATGCGCCTGGCCTGGTTTTAAAAAACCAAGCATTTGCTTGAACAATTACGGAAAAACTCAGTGTTTACCGTTCAAACAAAGGGCAACAGCTGATCAAGTGTTTTGCTTTCCTGAGAAACTGATTCTTTTATCTCTAATCAAATCTTATTTTGTTGATAAGGCATAACTTTCCTTTTCATAAAAACATT